CATGAACTTTTTCAGAAAATAAATATCAGGAGTATAAGCAAAGGAATGCTAACAAAGACTACTGTTGCGGTTGATACGATCAGCATGTCGTCACTAGTCACAACCACAACCCACTCCTTGCTGGTACATTTGTATATGCTTGCATTGTTTAAGCTAAATTTATGCAAATGCTGTTGACGCAAGCAGATGAACACCTTCCTCGATCCTGTCAGCAATATATTAATGACATTCTGTTCATGAATAACAAGAATAGTTGTAAGAGAAACATCTGAAAATTAGCAAATGTATTTTTTTTGTAATTGTTGTCAAATGCTGATTTCCGGTAGTCCTTATTCAAGTACGTCTAGGTTAAGATTTCTGATGCATACTGCATTGACGTGCCGTTAAGCAAATTATATTTTAAAAGCTTGAACCTGACAGGGGTTTAAGTGTCGGACATGATTATATATGTATATATATTCATGGTGGCCGGATGGCGCAGTGGATAGCGCACTTGCCTTTCACAAAGACAGACGAGGTTCGATTCCCCGATCGGACGTGAAAAGGTATGGGGTAACCTGCCTGACTAGGTGGGTTTTCTCCGGGTACTTTGATTTCCTCCCGCGCGCTTACATCCGGGCCATTAATAATAATTAATGTAAGCTGTAAAAACATTGTTTCATAATTGTTCATTTTTATCGTTTGTTTTGATGTCGGTTTGTTCGCTAGTTTTCCAGGACTTAAAAAATAAGAAAACTGAAGTTTGGTTTGTTCGTGTTTTACGTCCTATTATGAGCCACGGTCATTTGGTGATGGAGGAAAACTGGAGTACATGGAGAAAAACCACCGACCTACAGCCAGTACCTGGCGACTGCCCTCGCAGGCCTCGAAAAAGCGACCCGGTGGTGGAGGGCTAGTGGTCGGCGTTGTTCAGACGCCTTTAAACCACTCGACCACCACAGCCCATATGTTCAAAGGAGTTTATAACATGAATCATATTATGAAACTAAAATATTTGTTTAAATAATCTATACACAGAAATTATCTATAATTCAAGCAGAAAAACTAACGTAAAATTGTTGTGTATGACTGGTTATTAGTCATATGATATACATATACTTAAAATTGAAAAGATATAAGAAGATCAGCATTGCTTACTTAATAATAGATAGTCGAAACAAATAAAAAGGCACTATTTCGATTTCATTAAATATGTGTGCAATAACTCGGTTCTGTTATATTAATAAACTATCTTCCGAACGTTTTTACTGACTTGTCTCCATCCATCTGAAGGCGTGTTATTCTCTCCTAATCGAACCCTTTGAATTAAAGTTCGATTACTTTAATGGGTCATAAACACAAATTTTCAAAGGTTGTGCTTGGACAATATCAAAACAAAAATACCAATGCTTTATAAGTTTGTAGTGTGTCATTTCAAATAATTATCTATTTAAGAGTTATTTTTGTGCATGTAAGTTTTATTGAGAAATTTATTTTTTGACAATATACTATATAGAAATTTAGTGTTAACACATTTAGGTTATTAACAACTTGGCCTTATTTGTGTTCCATTATATTTTTAAAAATCATTCTAAAAATCAACATTCATATTTAGAAACAGATATTTAATATGACAAATAATATTTGCTCTTCGATTGAGAAGTCCTGGAAATGTATTATGATCAATGTGGTCACCAATGCGATTGATTGTGAGATTGTGATATGTACTTGAATAGAACATATAAACTTACCTCCATTCTATGAGGAACTGAGGGCACAAATATAGCATCCAGATTATTATATGGCCACAATGTTCTCTGCTCCATTCCAATTAGACACCATTTTTTCCCTCTGAAAGTGAATCTGGTTTTTTTCTTCTTTATTTTTTACATGGACTGATTATTGTAATAAGGTAAATAAAAAGTACATAGTAACTCGTCATAGCACAATAATTGCGAGCTATTTTCGTCACGAATATATGATTATACATCAGTACAATTTTGACATCGCTGGTCCTGTGATGGATCGCGTGGTAAGACTAGGAAGAAACACAACAGCTTGATACTGTGTAACTCTGTAGTATGGTCACGTTCTGTGCGGCTTACGATAACTTAAATACATCTAGTGGAACAACATTTCATAAACTCTTTTATGTAGTTTATTAACACTCACTAATACATTTCCCATTTGTGACACGTGTAATATAATCTATTGTGATGTCACAAAGGAATAGTACGTTTATGTCAAAATTCACTACTAATAAAAATATTTCTATTTTTTTCTATTTTTCGTAAACGGATACACTTATAATAATTAAATAATAATATACTGGTTTCGCATAATAATAATATTGATCAAAATTAATTTCATTTCCTTTTTTTAATAAAAGACAAACGTTTATTTCTTCAATCACTTTGTTCATAAAATACTACTGTAAAACATATTTCATAAGAATGATTTCGAAATGGCACACACTTGTTTTTGATCTTCTAACTTTGAATAAAATATACCAAATAGTGAAGGTTACAGACCACGAACTGGGTATGAAAATAAGCACGCTTCCTAAAAAAGGCTCTTATTCTATTTCTTTTGAATATTTCTCTCACTTAGATGTTATGATTTAAACCACGTCTGACAATCATGAACTTTTTTAAGACTATCATTATTTTAAGGCCAACCCACAAATATCATATTTGACCAAAATGTTTAACTGGAAGACTGGCTAATGCAAGGGACTTCGTTGTTTTACATCTAACGGAAAAAGATCAATTGAATATAAATTATCATATACTCATGACAAAAAAGCTGTTTCGTATATGACACATTACAAATGCTTGTACTCATTTATTTATAATCGGCGCAATTAATCATCAAATGTATTGTTTTTTATCATTAAATATTTGAAAAAAAACCGTTCATATGCCGACATCTGTTTAGCATGACTGCCACAGGAGAATAAAACAACGCCACCGCAAAGTATTTCAAAAGCAAGATATAAGATATCCTTATATTAATGTATAATAATATTAAAATACTAAAACTAGATATTTATAAATAGAAATCCCCCCCTATGAGAGATGATTGGTTATCATGTTAACATAGCCCGAGTTTGTTAATTTCTAATTTTATAAAGACAGAAGGTTAACATGTATTGAATGTCTTTAAGAATCTGAAAACAAACCAATGATAGTTTGATACACGGGATAAGTAGCCTTCATGAGTTTAGGAACTTTTTTTCTCCAATAATGTTCATATCATATGTATATAACCTACGTTTTCCCTTGCAAAAAAACAAACATTATTTATGTTTGCGATCCTGGACACAATTGCCCTGACGTCGCAATGAAAGATAACATGCAAAAATTGTTACGCGCCGTCACAATTAAAATAATTAGCATATAGGTAACCTAAAATATTTACTTACACAAATGAGTCGGGAGTAAGGAAACAAAAAGTGATTGTGGTGCGAGAAATGTATGTTATAGTACATGTGTTCGCTTTGTTTACACGGAGAAATGAAATATCTTATTTAGAAAATCGTATGGCGTTCCGTAATCCACATTTGAAAATACATTATTTATGAACTCCCGCAATGTGATTAATTGTGTAGTTTCATTATGCAAGTTACCTTCCCTTTAGCGTGCTATTCAGTGCAATAGGAACCCCGCGTTTGGGTACACGGGTGTGTATGCAGGAGGAATGTTTAAATGTTTAAAAACCAAATAATTATAAAATATATAGTTATTTACTGCCAAAGGCTACGGATGAAAGGAGATGAAACACATTCTCGATCCTCACATGTCACATTCAGGTTTACATTTATGACGTGTTGTCCTTTAAAAACAATTACCTGTGAGAGAATTATTTGAAAATTAACAAATGCTTTTACACTTCTTGTCAAAAGAAAACTGTTTGGTTGAACAAAAGCAGATTAAGATTATAAATGTATACTTGATTTATGTTTTGAGCAGTTTTGGCCCTGATATAAGTAAACAATTTAGCCTTGATATCAGTAAACAACTTTGGCCCTGATGAAAGTAAACGATTTTGGCCCTGAGGTAAGTACACAATATGGCCCTGATATAAGTAAACAATTTGGCCCTGATATCAGTAAACAACTTTGACCCTGATATCAGTAAACAACTTTAGCCCTGATAAAAGTAAACGATATAGGTCCTGAGGTAAGTACACAATTTGTCCCCGATATCAGTAAACAATTCTTGTCCTAACATAAGTAACCAATTTTGGCCCTGATACATATAAGTGAACATTTTGGCGCTGATATAAGTTAACAATTTCGGCCCTTATATAGGTAAACATTTTTGACCCGGTGTAAGTAAACGATTTTTGCCGTATTTTTCTTTGCTTTTAGATGATTTAACAGTGAATATTACGAGGTATAGCAAACCATGTGGCTCAGGAACGCTTACATTTTCTGATCGCCTTATCTCGGTTCCAACTTTCTGTGATTGTTATTTGTAACAATTTAGATTCCATTTTTTCCCTTTTTTTTAATTCATATGAACTGCTGTAGATTGAAGACATTTTATAGAGCTGGACTTTCTTGTAATAATAGCAGAAATGTATAAATTAAGTTGAAATGAATTAGAAACTAGTTAGCTTAACGTGTCGTTCATACAATATTTTGTGAATGATGGAAACCTATAGTGGTTTTGAGAGAAATTAATTTAATTGTATATTTGTGATTTGATTATATGAAGAATACAAATCAATTATTTCAGAAATTGAAAGGCGTTCTTTGATTAATATATAGTGTAAAGATATGGAATGTGAATCAGGTCACTGTAATCATTTTACAATGTGAATTACCTCCCCTTTTACGCATTTATTTTTCGTTGTATAAATGTATGTGTTGGCCAAACGCTTACCATAACATAAGTTAGGAAAATTATTCGGATCTCGAAAACTTCGAAAAGGGTTCGGTAATTTGTTTTAATATAGAGTAAAATTGAAACCTGGGTATGCTAATATACAAATTGTGTACAAATATGTCAACAATATAGAATTGCAAAACAGTCATTTATTAACAAAGTTACAAAAAATCAGACAACAAAAATAATTTTAATCATAGAGTGAGACATTGATAAAAAATAAAGAGCTTATTATGACAATTATAACATAAACATGAACATATTTCAGGCATTATTATAATTGTCTATAGTACCACACATGCACATAACTGTGCAATATAATAATCGTATCAATCATTTAAAGACACTGATATAAGATTATTTCGTATAATCAATTTTTCTCACATCCATACATATACAGTAGAAACTCGCAAGTGCGAACAGTCAGTATGCTTACAAAAAGTGATAAATTGCCGATGGTTTGCTGTTTATTGAGGAGTAGCTTGAAAAATACATTGGGTTGGTCACCATTACTGGGTAGGACAGTTTCCCCTCGGTTCCCGGTATGTGGTTGTTGGTACTATCCTTTTCTTAGTGTAGTGTAGATGCTGCAAAAAATTGTGAAGATCAGTAAGAAAGATATATATATATATATTAAGTTTCAATTGCTTTGTGTCTAATCGTAACAAAATTGAATAAGAATAAACTGCCAATTAAACAATCATTAAAATATGAAATCCATTAAATGAAAACTATAGTCAGGCAACTGTTTTTCATTCATAACAAATTTAACCCTAGAACTCGTACAAATGAATGCGATCTATATATCTATACGTTAACAGGCGATATTTTATGCTCTCCGTTATTCACAGAGCAACTATTTGCATTGGATTACTCAATATTCTCATCAAATGATATATAATATATGCATAAAATGTTTCGTGTTCAATCCTTTCATTTCATTTTCTTCTACTGCCTTGCTCGATGTGGTTTCGTAGATTGAAAGAAGGAAGTAAGACACACATTTGATTACACAAAGATAATTAGGTAATTGGTACAGAATGCCAAACACGAATTACACTACATCATACAGATGTTTCCTCCTTCTAGGATTTCTCGTTGATGCTAGGTCCAAAAAAGATGAACATTCGAATTGGTCTAAACTACTGTTGAAACAGAAGGGGAATGCACAAAACACCTTGATAATATGAATGTATAAATCAGAAGAGTACTGGTTAATTTGACATTAATTTTGTGTACAGAAATACTTACATTCATATGAATCCTAGTACAGATCATATCATAGTCGGTTTCTGCAAGAATGGATTTAAAATGACGTCGCACAGAGGGTAGGGACCAATCCCATTGCTTCATTGTCTCAACTGCCAGGTAGGAATTGTTCGTATTGATAGCTTCAAATTTAGGCGAACTAACACAGCCGTTCAACTTGGTTCGTGGATAAAATAATAGCATGCTGACACACATCTCCTCTTGTGTCGAAATGCCACCCTTTAAGACAGAGAGAAACATATCTGTCGAAAACATTCTTAATTACATATTATAATACTAACATTTTAGAGTTGTTGCCCTTCAGTGTACTTCTCAATTAAGACATTGTTAATGATATTTAAAATGTGTTTTTTATGAATATCAGTTATTGAATAAAATTAAAACAAATCTAAGAGTGTAATATTTCGAAAAATGGAATAAAATCAATACATTTCTAAGAAGGTGATGTTATAAGAAATTGAATAAAAATGATAAGATTCTAACAGTGGAATACAATGTAATTTGAAAAATTGAATAATATTGATTGCAATATTTCGAAACTAATATGTGTAGTATGACGTATTTCTATAACGGATACACGAATGTGAACAGAAAAGAACATTCATTTTAGATGAAGAATCATAATCACATAATGACACTAGTTTTTGTTCATTAATCATTCTGATTTGGTTACAATGAATAAATAAATAATAAACAGAATTTGATAAAGCGTCCTATCTAGCTATCATAGGCCACTCTAACGCGCTTTACAGTACATAGACATACAATTTATACAATTAGCATATAAATTAATCATTACAACTTTGAGGAAGTCGCAGGAGCTGCCTTATCAGGCGCTAACTACTAGTCCTATGCCACCTGACTAATATCTACCTATGTGTGATTAGACAAATAGAACAAATCGAAGCATGATCGATCAAAAGTGAGAGGTGTGCTGTTTGTGAAACTTACAAAAGTAGGTTTTGTTTTATACCGCGAGTCGTAGGTACATTCAACAGAAACGCTATCACCCTGTAAAAACAATGTGTTATATATTAGAGAAGCAGTTAAAAAGTCGGCTACAGCACTCAATCGAACGTTGAATTAAGCCTAAAGTTATATTGTAAGTTTATATTATGCTGTACTATTAATTAATCTACTGGAAGAGCACTCTTTGTCTTCTTTTTAATTTTTAATTTTTTAATTATTTTTAACGTTACAAAAATAACAAAACGTCCCATTTTTGTCTCTTTAAAAAAAAAGGTTTTAATAAACCATCATATTGCAAGGGAAGCTAGAGTCTTACATCCATCTTGTTTCATACATGATATCGGTGTTATTTGTAACTCTTTTGATATTGACACTTTACCTTTTGAATGCTGATTTCATGTTTTTTTGCTCTGATATCTTGGAAATCAAAGTCGTAGTGTTTATCATTTGCGAACGGTTCAAGCTCTGTTCCATTCCGGAAGTGACGTGTCTTAATGGCAGTTCCCAGCAAGTGCGCATGTTGGAATACGGCAAAAACTTTGACGCCTTCATCTGGTAGTGTCTACAGAACAAAGCAACATTGAAGCAATATATATCATATAATGTAAACAAATATTTCCTTGATCAGAACTTGAAGAGGATTGCGAAAAGGGAAATGCAGTAAACGAAACGTTTATCTTATTATTACCTGATCGAGGCATTCTTCTGGACAGTAGCTGCGCGTTACAAACGCTTTCTCATAGGGTGGGACGATTTGTCTGGGACTAACCCTCGAACCAGCGTAAATCATGCCAGCGTCATGTTGACGTATCTGTGTCGTGTAGGAAATGATGATGCCTGAACTGTCAACGATATCTGCAATACACATCATAGGTTTAGTATCGCTCTACACTTTGCTAGAATGCCTTTTTTAAAGAAAAAACAATGAGAAAAGAGTATAGCGCGAAAAAAGTAAACAGTACATAACTTCTCATACAAACTCTCGAAAATGAACTGCAAAGAACATATTGAAGGATATTTCAGTTAGCAATGAACAATATGTCATACACACTTGTTGAAGTGTAATATATTACCGCCTACATTTTTGAGGAATATTGCATGTAACAGATGCCTCGCACGGAAAGCACAAATATGCACTCTTTACAGTAATATAAGAACTGCTATTTCTATTGTGTATAAATCTTTTATAGAGTAGAAGATTAAACACTCTGCGCTGTAAACAGTACTTAATATAAGTTTTTAAACACTACTATATATATTGCATATATCTTTTACATCATAATACTATAATGCTTGCATCATACCTAAAGTCAACTCGAGACTACATGTGTGAAAATATGTAACATGACGATTTAACGTTTCCAAACTGCTTTAACTCATTCACCCCTGAAATTGTATAATGAACTTGTCCAACCTTTGAATTGGAAGAGCTCAAGTGGGTCTTCAGGGTGATTGATTTAATACATCAGGTTCAATGACTGATATGCCCTTTTTAAAAGCTGTTATGCCATTCTACCAGTTTCATGTTAATGTATTGTAATCACAAACCTGTTTTACGTGTTGGGTTGTCATAGTGTGTCTCCATTACAAAGAACTTAGGATCATCACTGGTACCGAGGGGAATGCCCACATGCTCCGGCAGATAGTAGGTCTATTGGGATATAATCAATACGGTTCGCGTAAACAAATTTTGTGTATACTTGTTTCTTTAAGGAAATAGATACTTTTATAAAGATTAATCCTAAAATTACAATGTACCATTACTTAAGGATCCCCGTCCCACTGAAATCTAGTTTATTTGTATATACAGTTACCTTCCCTTGGTTCGTTTTTGATATAGCTGTAGCACAGTTGGGCTAGGACAATTCTGTTGATCAGGTAGATCGGCCTGTGAGAGCGATAGTTAATGATTATATTTTATTTATTTCATCTCCATTATTTTTTCATAAAAGTCCCGCAAAGTATCGTTTCCTTTTGAGAAATAATTCATCAAATATGTCAGTTACAGATTTTGTCAGTGGTGTGGGTATCCTTAAGACATACTAAAAATGATAAACTATACTCTTTTATGAAATTTTATCGTAGATGAAATGCGTATGGATTCCATTAATATATACGGTGAATTTTTTGCACCCACGCCCCTTTAAGTCAATGATTGTCTTGTGTCAATTTCGCCGTCCATGTTTTATTGCTATGTTTATTATGCTTTTTACTAATGTTCGCTGTTATGATTTATTTCGTCCTCATTTCGTAGGCGAAGGTTAACAGCGGCTAACATTTCCTGATATACAATATACTATATACTATTTACATTCATCAATGCACCGTAACGTTTGTTTTGACTAATTCAAAAATAAATAAATAAATAAATAAATAACGGCTAATTATATAAGAGAACAAAATAAGCGTAGCTTTTACACTTACACCACCTCCGACGGCCCAAACGAGGAAAATACTACGCATGCCCCTTAATGCTTCCGGTGTACTTTTTCCTTTGGTACAGTCGAAGTTAAGATTGTCGTATTGTCTGTCTATCTCTCTATCGTAGAAATACAATACAATGTGATGCACGTGCTTCTCGTTGCCTTTCTGCACGTACGGCTCATACTGAAATAGATTATGAAGAAGATGAAATCTTTTCAATCCATAAGTGAAATATACCTGTTGCTAATCAATAAATACGTAATTATATATTTACAATGCTTTCTTAACACATGGACGTAAATAGAAAATGCTTCTCATATTAATAATTAGGGCAGATAATATGATGCTGTATTGTGACGTCACTATAACAAAACGCCAAGGCTGTTGTGACGTCTTTCTCGCTCCGTGCATTATCTACTGAAATATATTGATACTCTATTGGGCATGATTTTCTATGGTATCACAAGCAATAACCAATGTTAACAGGTAATATACGTACTGAACCGATTACTTTCATTGTTTTTGAGGGTGATTCGGTGAAAGAATATGTGATTAAAATTATGTCTGGTACAACATGGATTGTCTACCTTTATCATGTGATGTTTCTGGTTGAGGTTTGGGAGTCGAAAGGTGGAGCAATGGTATGTTGTTCCAGCAGAAGGCACGTGGTACTGAAAATAAAAGTTCATTAATGTATCAAGCCAATCGTTCTAGTAATACAGTACACCTCAATATGTTCAGTTCACATTTATTGAAAATACTCACTTTTCAAAGTGCTCAAATAAAAATCATTAGCTTGACATTATAGAAAAGACATAAACAAAATCAACAATATTTAAGAAATACCATGTGTTCAAAAATGTGTACATAATTTGGTGAATCTCAGAACTTCAATGGTTCGAAATTTAATTTTGAATAGTGTAACAATGTAGTAACTGAAAACGATTCTATTCGTAATATTAGTGTTCCTAACTGAAATACTTACGTTGGTTTTCACAAAACCGAAAGACTGGAGATCCGCCGGCATTGTAACTGCAGAAGCAGACGTGGCAGAAAGTAGCAACAGAGCCCGTGATCCCCTCCGAGCAACCCCGTGCCACGGAAGTGACGTAATGTGTACTGGATCATCCGGGTGGTACGAAAATATGACTCTGATGGTATCGTCCTGCATTTTATGAAACAGCAAAAATAAATATTTAATAGTTACATTAGAGTATCTTAGTAAACTGTAATGTTTAATTCAAACTCAAGAGCACAAACCAATGTATACAATGTATCAGATGAACTTAACAGTTAAACTTGTATATAAAACAGTATGCTTATATATAATTAACTTACGGTTATTTTGAAATCGTCGTCATCACAGGTGTCAAGCTTTCGTGTGAATCTGAGTATGGTTCCAAAATCATTTTCTTCTCCGTGCAATAAAACCCAGTCTTGTGAGTCGTCCTCCTTCGGCATCACGTGAGCAACTGTGTGACAGTCCTTCAAATAAAGCAAGCATTCTATATATGCTGCATTGTGACTTTTGCCAAAGTTTTTTTTTAAGGTTAAGATAAACATGAATTATGGACAATCAAGTAATAAGTTATAGCCTTCATATTTATAGCTGTTACAACCTTATTAAAATCTCGTTAAACTGACACGAGTTTTCAACGAATGTTTTGCGTTATAAGGGAGTTTGTTTATGCAGTTCAACCTGTCTTAGAGACGAGCTGAGAAAAGATTCAAAAGCGGTCAATTAATCCAACTTATGAAAATAAGAAGATCCTATTCTCTTAAGACAGATGATTGATAAAACAGGGATAGTCTTGCTGTAGAGTCGACTGTATTTCGAGGCAGACATATGCAGGAAATAAACAGCAGCAAAGGAATATTGAGATAAAATTGCAGCGAAAACGGGTTCTGCCAATGGAGGGCGAAATTACAGCTTAATATATCAGTTTAACGATACCGGCTACCCTGCGTAGAGGAATATGATAAATAACGACTACTGGTTACCTTGAAGTGTGTGACTCCGTCCTTGACCCAGCCGACAATTACATCACCTGGAAACATCTGTCCATTCCCGGAAAGTCCAAACCCGACGTATCCCCGAGTTTTGACATGGGTCTCAAATGTGACATGAGTCTCATTTGAGTCCCAGAACAGCCAATATGCTCCATCCTCGTCCAGGCGCGCCTCGTGCGCAAATGAGCGGCTTGGTGTCGGTTTCTGGGGTGTGGCCGCTATGGTTGATTGCACACTGCTAGTGGCATTAGTGGTGGTAGCCTTGACAACATCAGCAGCATTGCTAGCTGCCACAGTTGTTTCTGTTGTTACAATAGATGGGCCTACAACTTTTGCTGTTGTAAAGTAAAAACACAGACAAAGACATACAATTATGACATTCATGGTGAACCCAGTTTGCTTGTACAAAAATTACTATGGCTTTCCTTTTATGCTGAGTCTTTATTTATAATGCTCGTGGAAAAAACGATTTCGAAATGTATGTCCCATGATGTTGAACCATGTTTATTTTCATTCACTACTGATAACAAACTGACAACACAAATATGATGCAGACTAAACTCTTTGTTAGCTTAACTTGGGAGTTTTTGTAAACATCTGACAGCGTTATATATCGTACAATGATATACCCCCGTGTCTTAAAGAACACTACCACTCCATCGTACTTTTTCTTTAGAAGTTAAAGTTGTGTCAATATATCATATATTATTAATATTGGAGTTTGCTAGAATCAAGCTTTTAACTCATCTGTAAATCGTATTGTTTCGTGAATAAGGAAAATATGGACTGCCACAGGCATCAACGTAACACTTCCTTTCTAAATTACTAAAATAAAGGTTTCTACATTTTATAAAGTTTCTAAAGTAAAGTTGTGTTTTAATGTAAATATGTAAATCTTAAATTATTGCTGATAGCATTTGAGACCATGTAACCCTTATAATAAATATGATGTTGAGAACTGGTAAAGAGAGGATCGTCATTATATTCTGGGCAGGTAAGTTGTCATGACAACAATCGGAGAATGGGTAAGGTCAACACAACATTCCGAGATATCAATATAATTGGTAAAGAGAGGATCGTCTACATATTTCGGGCAGTTACGTTGTCATGACAACAATTGGAGAATGGGTAAGGTCAACACAACATTCCGCGTATCAATTTAATTGGTAAAGAGAGGATCGTCTTTATGTTCCGGGCAGTTAAGTTTTCATGACAACAATCGGAGAATGGGTAAGGTTAACACAACATTCCGAGATATCAATATAATTGGTAAAGAGAGGATCGTCCATATATTTCGGGCAGTTATGTTGTCATGACAACAATCAGAGAATGGGTAAGGTTAACACAATATTCCGAGATATCAATATAATTGGTAAAGAGAGGATCGTCTACATATTTCGGGCAGTTACGTTGTCATGACAACAATCGGAGAATAGGTAAGGTTAACACATCATTCCGAGATAGCAATTTAATTGGTAAAGAGAGGATCGTCTTTGTGTTCCGGGCAGTTAAGTTGTCATGACAACAATCGGAGAATGGGTAAGGTCAACACAACATTCCGAGATATCAATAATGCGACCCAGAGAGAATGGGAAAGAAACTGTCTGCAGAGAGATAATGAGTTCAAGTCAGGACCAGGAAAGAGCAAGGATGCACGAACAACTGAGGAGGAAAGGATACAGGGAGGAAGTGTAGAAGGAGGAGGACAGAAACAGCTTCGAAAAAAAAAATCAGAGCGTCTGTATAAAAATTAAGTTGTTGTGATGCAGCTTATGAAATTGAAAATAAATAATATGAACCTTTTAAACAATTTTGTTACCGTAGATATAAAATTCCTCAGTTTTTGTCAGTTGTGTTTTTTATTTAAAAGTTGTTTTAATGAAGTTATGATTCCTTCAGAGTCCGCTGCCGAAGTTTTCCCCCCAACAACTGTCAATTTTCTCAAGAGCTCAGTGACGTTCAGAAAAACATGATTTCCAGAATTCACTGCGAGAGGTCAATATCTGATCGGAAAAAAATGTTGGTAAATTGTACAATATTGTTGAAAGGCCAATCGAATCAAGGACTGTGGCAGTATAGTGTCCAGTCCATACTTTCCCTCGGTATAATGTCAACGCCGGGGGGCTTGTTGATCAGCTCATAGTAGGTCACACCGACCGGTCATCATATGACGACGACTAAATGCAAACACTCTCAAGATAAAACAAAATACATATCACACGATAAGTGTGACTCAGCAAACGATACTAGCCTACATGTAACAACCGATCCTCAAACAAACAGTTGTGTCAGTACATTTGCACTTGTTTACGCGAGTGTAAACTCCACCTGTTCCAAGAGTTCAATAACGAAACATTTTGAATACAAGAAATCATTGCTATTTAACTTAGTTTAACTTAGTTTATTCTGAAGGCAGGTATATCTGCCTCAATATTCAGATCATAGTCCAAATTTATTTAATTATGATATGGTGTCCTTGATGTGACGAAACTCCAATGCTGTCATGAACCTCTTTTTTTCATCACTTTCCTAAAATTTACCAATGCGGTTTTTCAAACGTTATATTAGATTTGGTGCTTAAAACACATTCTCAGTTAGTTAAATCCAGTTGCTAACAATTCGTTAAGTAAATGAGTAGTACCTAACGTTCAGTGTGCTCCTTGATTTATCAAGGCTGAGTGAAAGTCCTCCAGTTCTTTTATCTTGTTTTATTGACAAAGGTCCCTGTGATGCTGTTGTATCATAGACTCCCCTCAATATTTTGAACACTTCTATCATGTCTCCCCTATAACGGCTGTAGAATAACGGTGGGAGTTTAACAGGACGCAATTACTTAAACCAGAAAACGATGATATTTAAGACAATATTAAGTTAACAATGCCAAGGCCTATTTAGATTTAACACGACAATAATAAAACTTTGTCTCTGTGCGACAATACAATAGTATTCAAAAATTGTACCCTATTGACGACTATATAACACTTATAAGACCTCGTAATTGTTTACGACAACACAACAAAAATCACGTCATGCCCTAACCATGCAAAATTTGACAAGAATTTAACTTCATTTACAAAAATATAGCAACAAAGACACCGGTCTTTTTTAAACAATATAATAACACAAAACATCGCCCTTGTGTACCGACAGATTTACGTAACAAGTTTTGTTCCATTTTCGCGACCATGCAATAATAGCAATATTTCATCCTAGGTGATGACAATATTATTAATATAATTAGAAGACATCGTCTTTTTTTAAGATAATGCAGGAAAGAAAGATGTAAACAAAGTTAACGGCAGTGAGGATATACAAACAGTTTGTACAAGTTAATAAAAGATAACAATATTAAGACCTCGAACTACTTTTTGACACTTTAATAACAACAAAATGTCGTCACTGTGCAAACATGACAAGATTCAAACCACACCGTTCCAGCTTAGCAAAATATAGCAAAAATTTAAAAAAAAAAAATGTAATTAAAAAAAGTAGATTGTAAGCAATCATTTGTAAGCTAAAAACAATCGACTTTAGAATAGTGTAAATCTGGCATAACTGATAAGTGAGCCGTTGGTAGGCTGGCTCATTCCCCGAATACCAACTCTGGTGTTTATATAGGAAATCCTTTGAAGTTTAGTTATAGCCTGTTTCAACTAAGAATGTCAACTCATTTTGTAGATATGATACTAAAGTCAATAATAAAATGGATAGAAAGTTTTTATTCATACATATAATAACTGTAATACACATTTGATACAGCACTAAGTAATAGAAAATAATCATTAGATATTGATATTTACATTTTATGAAAACAAATAGCATTACACTATATGAAAAAAAAGCATTACATTATATGAAAAATAAAAATTCCTTAATACAAGCCACATTGATACTAATGTCAGCAATAAAATAAAGTTAAGTTTCTATTCATACATATAACAGTAATACACATTTAATACAGCACTAAAGGATAATTATTAAACATGAATATAAACAGTAAACCACTAAATGAAGCTGAAGTTTCTAGCACAAATCACATTCTCTATATATATCACTTAAGTCTCTAGCACAAAACACTCTATCCCAGATTCAGAAGCTGTGATGCTGAGTCGGCGTAGGTCGTCAGGTCGATAGTTCCAGTCTGATAACGGACTTTCAGGGTGTCCAGGCGTCTGTCGATGTTGGCGTATCTCTTCTTTCGGGGTTAAGTAGTGCCTCCTGGATCTCGCTGGATCCGGCTGATGTCATTCACGTTCTGTATGTCCTTTAACGTCTGGATGTTGGTGTAGTTGATGGGGTGGGCATGCAGTACTCTTTTCTTCAGTTTTCCGTGCCAAGCTTCTAGATTGTTGGTAGTCCGAGGTCCTTCTGTTGAGAAGTGGTTCCAGGTTGGTCGGTCTCCTTCTACCCATTGCTCTGTGACGTAGCTGTGAAAAGCAGCACGGAATGTGGTATGTCAGCATCATCAGCATCTTCTATGCGGTCTAAGGGGATGAGTGGAAGAACAGCAGCTCGGCGGACAAGTAGTTTGACGTCATCGTTCTCACGGTACAGTGTCTGGAGTCCGGTTGACTTGGCCTTTCGTCAAATACATTGAGTGTAATGGAAAAAACAGCCTTTTATGTTGATTCCAGGGACGACACTGCGGATGGCGTTGTGTGCTGCTACCTCAAAATCGACGAAGGCTGTTGTGGGTCGGAATGGAATCTGGAAGTTTGCCATGTGCTCCTGTAGAAGCGTGAAGAAACGGTTGTAGATAGCCTGGCTCTTTCCGGGAAGTAGTGCATGTGCGGGAAGACCCCGGTAGGCTATTTAACGTACCGGGTGATTCTGTGTCCCAATATTGTGTTTACTTTATTATTAAAATACAGTGTGGCCTGGAATTACATCATTGTACTGATGGTCTCTCAGAATTGACGTGTGTTCCTGTATGACATTATGGCCATACCAGCCAAACTTTATCCGTTGTAATAAGCCGTTCCTAGTACAATGCGGTCCTGTGCTACATTATTGTGTAAACTGGATGTTAAAAAAGTACCATGTGGCATTACATAAAAACAATTGTACTGACGGCCCTTTACAATTGCCGTGTGTCCCTATATGTGTTGAAAAGACGTTGAGATCACCGTGTGGTCCTGTCTGACATGAGTGTAATGGTGGGCGTTAAGAGCACCGTGTGGTCCTGTCTGACATGAGTGTAATAATGGGCGTTAAGAGCACCGTGTGGTCCTGTCTGACATGAGTGTTATGGTAGGCGTTAAGAGCACTGTGTGGTCCTGTCTGACATGAGTGTAATGGTAGGCGTTAAGATCACCATATGGTCATGTCTAGCATGAGTGTAATGGTGGGCGTTAAGAGCACAGTGTGGTCCTGTCTGACATGAGTGTAATGGTAGGCGTTAAGAGCACCGTGTGGACCTGTCTGACATAAGTGTAATGGTGGGCGTTAAGAGCACCGTATGGTCCTGTCTGACATGCGTGTAATGATAGGCGTTAAGAGCACCGTGTGGTCCTGTCTGACATGAGTGTTATGGTAGGCGTTAAGAGCACCGTGTGGTCCTGTCTGACATGAGTGTAATGGTAGGCGTTAAGAGCACCGTGTGGTCCTGTCTGACATGAGTGTTATGGTAGGCGTTAAGAGCACCGTGTGGTCCTGTCTGACATGAGTGTTATGGTAGGCGTTAAGAGCACCGTGTGGTCCTGCCTGACATGAGTGTACTGGTGGGCGTTAAGAGCACCGTATGGTCCTGTCTGACATGAGAGTAATGGTGGGCGTTAAGAGCACCGTGTGTTCCTGTCTGACATGAGTGTAATGGTGGGCATTAAGAGCACCGTGTGGTCCTGTCTGACATGAGTGTAATGGTAGGCGTTAAGAGCACCGTGTGGTCCTGCCTGACATGAGTGTACTGGTGGGCGTTAAGAGCACCGTATGGTCCTGTCTTACATGAGTGTAATGGTGGGCGTTAAGAGCACAGTGTGGTCCTGTCTGACATGAGTGTAATGGTAGGCGTTAAGAGCACCGTGTGGACCTGTCTGACATGAGTGTAATGGTGGGGGTTAAGAGCACCGTATGGTCCTGTCTGACATGAGGGTAATGGTGGGCGTTAAGAGCACCGTGTGTTCCTGTCTGACATGAGTGTAATGGTGGGCATTAAGAGCACCGTGTGGACCTGTCTGACATGAGTGTAATGGTGGGGGTTAAGAGCACCGTATGGTCCTGTCTGACATGAGTGTAATGGTGTGCGTTAAGAGCACCGTGTGGTCCTGTCTGACATGAGTGTAATGGTAGGCGTTAAGAGCACCATATGGTCATGTCTAACATGAGTGTAATGGTGGGCGTTAAGAGCACAGTGTGGTCCTGTCTGACATGAGTGTAATGGTAGGCGTTAAGATCACCATATGGTCATGTCTAACATGAGTGTAATGGTGGGCGTTAAGAGCACCGTGTGGACCTGTCTGACTTGAGTGTAATGGTGGGCGTTAAGAGCACCGTGTGGTCCTGTCTGACATGAGTGTAATGGTAGGCGTTAAGAGCACCATATGGTCATGTCTGACATGAGTGTAATGGTGGGCGTTAAGAGTACCGTATGGTCCTGTCTGACATGCGTGTAATGATAGGCGTTAAGAGCACCGTGTGGTCCTGTCTGACATGAGTGTAATGGTAGGCGTTAAGAGCACCATATGGTCATGTCTAACATGAGTGTAATGGTGGGCGTTAAGAGCACCGTGTGGTCCTGTCTGACTTTAGTGTAATGGTGGGCGTTAAGAGCACCGTATAGTCCTGTCGCATTTTTGCATTTTTTGATTAACATCTATCTAAAATGTGAAGATTAATGCATTCTTTAGAAAACACAAAAATGTGGTTGAAAACTGACGTGGTGTTTTCGTAATGACTGTAATAATAAATCTTTTCGACAAATAATGTCATTGTATATCAGGAAATTTTCGCAGCAGTTTAATTTCGCGTTTTCGCCCTCCGTAAATGTGGGCGAATTTACCATTAGAGCGAATAAGAGTAAACAACTTAATATATACATAGCAATCAAAAGTATTGGGCGAAATGATAGTAGGCGAATATGGATTGTACTTGTGAAGAGCAAATATTTGACTTGGGGAAACTTTCGGTCGTAGAGTGCTGTTGATACGTCACATTAATAGATTTCCAATATATATCTTTCGATTGACTGACGCTAGTCACCTTTTCTATGGCGTTGTTCCAGGTATAGTCGAGTTTAGCCAGGCCACGGTTGTATTTACAACAAAGATTGTTTCCGTACCAGGACACATTGATTCTTGGGTTGAATTTAAAAATATCTCTGGGATAGTGTCCAGTTTAAATATAGCCGTGCCCCACGTGTTGATGGCGACGGTCAACACCCCAATAGCTACGATGTTAGGAACGACACCTGTCAAGGCCTGAAATAAACAATGATCTCCATATTATAAATATGTATATGTATTTAACGTAAATGGAATCACTCAGTTAATCTTTTATATTACCTTTATGTCCCTTCTTAAAAATATTTTTGTATGTCCTTTTCAAAAGGAGTGTTCCGTTATAATCACTTATTGCGTTGCATTTTGGAGAATCATAGTTCACAATTTGAAACAGCGAAACACCAGGATCGAACTCGGGACCTTTTCATTACAAAACCTACACTTTACCATTACTCTAAGCATCAAAAATGTGTTCTCATGTATGGGCCGCAAAGCCACCAAAATAATGGACAGGGAATTATACTCCAAATCGATAAAACCCCGAGCGGCACTCGTCTAGGTAGAACATATTTACAGCACCCAGCTCATGTATAGTGCCGTACACCACTGCACCGTGTTTTATTCCAATATAGAACATTAGCACAGCCGGCCAGGACTCTTCTGTTGACCAGGTAGCTCATTTGGTTAGAACAATAGTATAACAATCTAAGTCCATTGTTCGAAACCTTGTCTAGCCCCGCAGATTTTTTTCAATCTTGTTGATTATATTTTGTTTATTTCATCTTGATTGTATCTCTTACAAGTCCCACAAAGTATTGTTTCCTTTTCAGAAATGATTTACCTAAGCTATTCCGTCTTTGCGTATTGCAGATTTATCTTCTCTTGTGAACAGGTATTGATTGTTACGTCATTCGTTTGTGAGAGTAACATCATCAATTGTTGAGAAAACGACGTAATTTTCTCACACACACCAATGACGTAACAATCAATACCTGCTCACAAGAGAAGATAACTCTGCAATACACAAAGACGGAATAGTCAGGCTGGAAAAAAGTTTCAAACGCTACGTTTTTTTGCAGTGTTACGGGGATCCTTCAGGCGAGTTTTTCTTATATCCTTTTCATCTTCTTCTATTTGTCTTCTTTGTTTTTCCCCTTAGCGGTACTTTCACTTTTCACTCCGAGACATCCATATCTTGATTTTGTTTTAAGTATATGAAGACCCTGTTCACGTTGTTATCAACGTTCATAAACGAACACGGTGTAAAAAAACAAAAAAATGATCTCAAACGATAAAGACTCAATGGATTGCACTTACGTTTTCATATCTTACGGTTGTAAAAGCCTTTAACAGCCTTGTGTTATCATGTTAAACCATATACCGACTTATAAATACATTTTACTCGACTTGACGTAGTTATTCCCCCTTACCATATCCGGTATCGTCACGGCTCCTGTTGAAAACACAATAGCGTTTGGAGGCGCGGCTATTGGAAGCATGAAGGCAAAGGAACATGCCATACAGGTCGATATCATGAAGTACAGGGGATGTATTCCAACAGTTGTAGACTGGAATGAGTAAACATAAAAAATGGAACGATTTATTACATGTACTATGAAATCATAAATAAAGTATGCTAAAAAATATGCATTGTTTCGTTGTCAACAACGCGTAATGTTGTACGTTTGTGATTTATCACAAAGCATATGGCGATGGCCCGTTTTTCTCCTACGACATCTAAAACAATGTATATGGGCGATGTTATCCATATCGGTTACGATGATCGGATGGCAAAGTAGATAGCGAACTCTGGTTTTACCACGACGCACTTGGTTCCACTCCCAGATCGGGCGTTCGAAGATACTGGGTATCCTGCCCCACTATGAGAGGTGTTGTTTTTTTTTAGATTATTTCGTTTTTTTACAATATTAAGAACTTCTGTGCACTTCCATGCGGGCCAAAAAAGATATTGATAAATAATGGGCAATACTTTATCAATTGTAAAATAAGTTTATATTTGTGCGATACCTCATCAATTCTAGATGGCCGGAAACATCGTTAAAAGAGGCTTAAATTAAATAACTTTCTGTATCTCTTAATAATTTCTGTATAAGTGTTATGTCGTCACGCTACCACAATTGGTACAATTTTTTGACAGTTTTTAGCGATATATAAATATTAATATCTTGTATCTGGATTGCTCCTTGATTTTTGACAAAGACTCCCCATGGTGGTTAATTTTCCGGAAAAAAGATTTAATTCTAAAATTTTTGTTTTTGAAAATAGAACGCTTAATTCGAAGTGAGGTTTTGTCCATTTTCCGGCCATGATTGGTACCCAAATAAGTACACCATATCACAGGCTATGACATTTGTTTATATTTCTACTAGTTGATGTACCCATTGCAACAAAATAGGTTGCTTTTATAAATGCCATACTGAACTACAATTGTATATGCATGTATAAACTTTTATAGTATCCTGTTAAAAGGACCATAAATCAACATTTAAATATGCTTATAATTAATCCCGTCAAAATCCTCCAAACCATCGTCAACGTGCGTCGTTTTACTGGTTTTCTGATATGTTTACTTTGCAGTCATCACAAACCGGTTCGGTTGAAATGCTGATAGTTATCTCTTTTATTATACTGTCATGGGAAAATATACTAATTTAATTTTAAAGTATTATTCGAACAATTTTCTGACCGTGTACCAATTTGGATAGCGTACCAATTGTTGAAATTTATGATGTAATCATTGCTTGATTGACGTGAATGATAATGATAGAAAAAGTTGATGAGGAGACTTGTTGATGATGATGATATGATGATGATGATGATGATGATGATTAATGTTGAGTTGATTGATGAGTATTATGATGTGATCAGTGTATGATATTGATGTGAATGGTGAAGGTTATATGACATTGATGATGATGATGATGATGATGAAGATAACTGATGGCGATGGTTTTATAATGATAAATATGAATAGATAAATACATAGATGTTGATTGATATTGATGTGAATGATGAAGGTTATATGACATTGATGATGATGATGATGATGATGATGATGATGATGATGATGATGATGAGGATGATGATGATGAGTATGATGATGACTGATGGCGATGGTTTTATGATGATAAATATGAACAGATAGATATATAGATGCTAATGATGAAGATGAAGAAGAGATGAAGATGATGTTTATTATGATATTGGAAGTGTAGGATGGTGTTGATTGCTTTAATGCTGATGATTTATTTGAAAAAATAAAACAATTACAAAAACAAATTGTGGTAGCGTGACGTTAAGTAACAAAAGGTACTTAAAAATGCAAAAAAAACATTCCCTTGTAAGGAATAGGTTCTTAAAGTATAACATTACTTAATTTATGTAATTGAATCATCGTAAAACTTAGGGGGGGGGGGGTTTAAAATGTGGAGTAGAAGGTTCCTTTGGCCAGTTTGATGACCGATAGTGATCAAGATGTAAATGTAAGCTTATAACTTCTTCAGGGATGTATTCCACGCCGTAATCATGAACTGTAAATGTGACAAGATAAAGGAAAGCGTACAATTGTGGTTTGAAATTGTTCATTATGTCTCTTTTGTTTTCTCACTATTCGGGAAATTGGAGGCTTCACATTGGAGAAAGCTTATCAATAAGATTTTGAAACATGAACTCAAATATTCCATATAAAACTGTACGTTGAATGAACAAAGGTACTCGTTGTTATATTTAGCACATACGTGTTATATTGTCACTATGAAAAACAAGACAGCTTCCATGTTGAAAACACGAGTATTAAAAAGACTCACTAAGACCCGGATGTGGGTGAATATAAATTAAAGATTGACACGCAATACGTTACTTAACGTGAACCTATACACCATATATAACAAGACGAACCAAATACCGGAGTAAACAATTGAATGAGCTTATAGCATATTACTCAATCCTTTTGACTTTTAAATAGAATTTACTGAAATGAAAACTTGGTAACTAAACCTTAAATTTGAAAATAGAATTTTTAGAACAGAAAAAGCCAGACTATTAGTAGCGAAATTCTGTTACGAACACGCCATTTTAAGTTTATAAAAGTAGTTATCCGTTATTAACATACGTACCAGTTCAAACATTATGGGCATGAGAAGAGTGGAGGTGGTGGTGTTGCTGTAGATCTCGGTAACGCCCGCCACAATCAGACATAAAACCAGATTCATCACCCAGGGGTCCAGGCCCTTCAGCAACCTCAGCTCACATCCAACCAATCGGGACAGACCGGAAGTCTGTTAAGTATAGGTAATGACCACGTGATCATATTGTTTTGAATTTAAATTAGCGAAAACATAAAGCAATTCAAATAGAATATAGGGCTGATAATGTATTCAAGTGATCAGACATATTGTCCTAGTTTGTCAATCTCACATATCACCGTGTGACACACCTTGATATAAATGTCTGTAATGATTGTATTAGTAGTTTTTTTGCACGTGATTTGAAATATTAAAATGGAGCTGCCGATATAACCCAGACAAACTAATGCTAAATCGACATGTTTAGTATTTTTAGTAAGTATTTTGTATTAACTTCATCAGCGTAGTAAATTAAACCAAAGTTGTGTTTACTCTCTAGAATGTAGTAAAACTTACAACGGTTTTGTTGAAAACTTTTTCCATCAATTGAATTAACACGTAAATTCATCGCCAAAAAGTGTTTCAAATAATATCAAGTTTATTCCGAATTTTTAGCGTAGTCGATCAAAGAAAAAAAAATAAAGGTAATATTTAACGTCGTTTCATGTATATCGTTTTACCTACTGTGCAAGCATCGGCTAGAGCGAACCCTCCCCCGAACAGGATGAGAACGCCCCACGCGACCTTCTTCTCGGCAATCCTCCACGTTAGGATAGGAGTGTATTTNCTTCCGGTTTACGCTGACATTCCTCAACATTCACAACTTTTTCAACTTGCTATACAAATATTTTTACCGGGATGGATTTTGAAGGATTTCAGGTGCCATTTTTGAAACATTATTTGCAAGAGAGGGGTATAGCATGCAGTTTGTACCGTAAAAACGATTTAGTTAGACTGTGCAAGCTAGCAAACGAGTTGGACTTAGAGGTTGTGACCTGTGATGACTACCACGACATGGACGTCCTGAGACGCACTGTTGATTCAACTGTATTGGATGACGTCAGCAAGGTAAAGTCCTGGATGTCTGATATGACTTCTGCCCCTAATGTGGAGTGCTGTGATATCATCATATATTTCATGAACGTATGCGGTTGGTCTGAATCGAGGTTGAAAAATTACAAGAACGATAATGGTTACAAACTCTACATGGACCATCATATCAATGACGTTTGCCTCGGGACCATTTCAAATAGTGACTCGCATTTGTACGTCAAGGCGTCGTGTATCCCTGAGACCAGACAAAGTGCCACTCCGTATTCTACGTGGCTTCTCATACAGAAGGATGGACATGTGAAATCTGGGGGTTGCACTTGTGTTGCGTAAGTTTCCAAAATTTAAAGTCGAATGTGATATATGACAATGAGCCAATCGAATTAAAAAATATATAAATAAAATATATATAAGTAACCAAAAGTAATGTATTTGTTTCTTACAACCCCTGCAATAATATTGTTTACATTTAATGCAAATACAGTCAAACGACGTTATATTGAAGTCACTCAGGTCATGAAAAAACTACGAGATACCCTTAGAATTCAAGGATAAAGAATATATTTTAAATACAAATTTTACTGTCAGAACCGAATTTTACATTAGAGCTAAGCAGGGTCTTTGAGTTAGAGTTTGAGACCCGAATACACACATGAGACCCTGTACCACCTCTGTGTATTTAGTTGGGCGCCAAATTAACAGGAGAGGGAAAATGCAATGCCAATTACCAGACCGGGAGTTGAACCCGGGACCTCCGAACACTAGAAAGACGCTCTAACCATTTGAGCTATCCGGCCACCAACGCTCAGTCCAGTTCTGCTACAGAAGTTTGACCGTACATTGAACATTTATGTATTTATTTTCAGTGATGACGGCACATGTAAGCATTGTGTGGCATTGTTGTTTGCCTTGTCAGCCTTCTGTGATCGACATAAAGACCGCAGCACTGAGGTTGGCACAGACGTTGCTTGTGTTTGGGACAAGCCGAGGAGAACCACTACACCATTAGAGATTGAGCACATTGATACCAGAGTAAATAAGGTAACACCTGTTCCCAAGTCTGCTACTGCTTTAAACTACAATCCTATGGTTAGGACAGAGTGTTTGTCCAAGAGGCAGGTGGAGAAAGAGGTTTATCTGTTGTGTAAGAAAAGTGATAGTGTGCTTCTTCAAACTTTGGATCCACCAAGTGATGATGACAGTTCAGATGATGAAATTTTCCCGCCAACTTTGACAGAAATTGCAGATACTGTGAAAGGTAATGTTGATGCTACAAATTTGTTGGCGTCAAAAGTGATTTCAACACATTCTGATGTGAAAACAGTGCAGAGGATTGAAGAAATGACAAGGGGTCAAGCTGATAATATTGACTGGTTTGCTTACAGGACAGGTCGTGTGACAGCTTCCATATTTTCTTCAGTGTTACACTTTCGATTCAATGAGAATTATGATAACTATATATTAAAAAAAGTTATGTGTCCACCACCTCCAGTTATGTCCTCAAGATCAGGTGCCCCAGAAATTCTGAGGTTTGGCAAAGACCATGAACCTATTGCTCGATCACTGTACTCTACACAGTATGCATCTAATCACAAGAAGTCAACAGTCAGGGAGTGTGGTTTCTTTGTTGATGCTGATCATCCGTTTATGGGTGCCTCACCTGATGGTCTGGTTTGCTGTAAGTGTTGTGGAAAAGGGTTGTTGGAGGTCAAATGTTCTTATACCTTCAGAGATTTAACACCACAAGATGCATGTGCTGATGCTCACTACCACTTGTACAGTGATGATGCAAATGTTATCCATTTGAAAAAAGATTCGCCTTGGTACATCCAGATTCAGGGACAGATGGGGGTGTGTAAACTTAAATGGTGTGACTTTGTATTCTACACAAAGAAGGCATTTGCTGTGGAAAGAATCTATTTTGACCCAGAGGTTTATGAACATATTGTTGAAAAATCTAAAAGATTTTGGGACAAGTATGTAACTAAGGCATTGTTGCAATGATTATTCCTGGTGATGAAGTGATTGCTATGACTGGAATCCACAATCAGAGGTGCATAAATTGATATTTGATTGATACCCCAAACGTTGAATACTGAGTTTGTAATTTCTTCCAAAATCTAAAGTTCAATAGAGTAAATTGTATCACAAGTATCACAAACAGAATAAACTAGAAAATCTCTGACAATTCTATGTGTTTATTGTCAGTTAAAACTGAATAAAGCTTACTTTAGAAAATTGATATGAAAATTACTAAACTTTTATGGTAAGGTTGGTGCTGAACAATTCAACTCATTATTGATCTTAAATCCATGTATTGAGTTCTAGTTTCCTACTAGTCCACTAATCTTAACCTTTGACTCAAACAGGTAGTTTGGCATATTACAAGGTAATTGAAATAATTTTATTGACATTTCTTATGAAGCTGTAATAAAAGTGGATGGGTTTAGTATACTAGTCATTTGCTTATTGCCAGATAAGTACATGCAGTAATACATACTTGTATAATTATGTATATGTAATGCAGAACAGCTAAATGAAACAAGAATAATGACACAGACATATTCAAATAATCAAAATTTGTATTGTTCAAATGAAATTCATAAGCTAGTTGATTTATGATTAATTATTATCTATCATACCATAATGAATTCATGTTACAAGTATCATTCAAAAATTCATTGTATTGAAATGATTACCAGGTATGTTATAGATCATAAGAAGTTTCACAGCTTCTTATTTTGTACAATATATAAACTAGCTAAGCTTCAAAAAGTCTGTTTAGAATGTTGGCTTTGGAAAAAAAATATAATTGATTATGTTAACACCTGTATAATATTGTGCATCTTTAAAAAAGTACAGGAAATACATGTACCTTTAACCTGCAGGCCAAACATATATCGCGAAAAAGGAAATTGATGTACAATATAATAATTTAACATCAAATATTGTAGCAAATTGAAATATTGATTAATGATTGATTCCTGGATAGGTATGACTGTCTGCATGATGACAGTAATCACTTTCTCACTAATGGTCTCTGAAGATTACACAGAAAGGCACTGACCTTCAGCATCTGGTTTGCTACTGGCTTGCAACTTAAGGGCATTGTGTTTGATAAACTATGAAAATTTTTCAATCGCTCAATAGCTCTTTCCACATGTATTCTAAGTTTCGCTATATTCCGTGTTTTCTTTATTTCAGTAGCATTGAGACGTTTTCCTTTACCCCATGAACATTTTCGAGTGAAAGGTGGCATATTCAAAGTTGCATGACGTTCCAATAATAAATCCCTTATCAAAAAACCCCTGTCTGCCATAACCTCATCTCCAGGTTTAATATTATCTAAAAACCCACTTTCTCTTGTTATGTACTTGTCAGATGTGTTACCACTCCATAGATTTGAAACAAAATTAATACAACCAGATGGAGTAATGCTGATTAGAGCTTTGAAAGTGTTCCTTTGTTTGTATGAACTATATGTCAAACTTTGAGCTGATGGTGATCTTGGCTTTTCAATAAAGAATTCTGTACAATCAATGATACATGTTGTCTTTGGGAAAAGCATGTGGAAACATCTTGGCATGAATTTTTTCACTTTTTTGGAAGAAGGCCACTTCAATAATGGAGTGAAAATAACAAACATAAAGTTAATCCATGTGATGTAAGTTTGAGAAACTCTGCTTTTTGCAATTCCGAAAATATCAGCTAAACAAAATGTCAGCAATGCCAAACGAAGCTTTATCAAAGTTAGAATGAACTCTTCAAAACGACACAGCTTTCTTTTTGGGCCACTCTTCTGCTTTTGTGAATCCTCTTGGTAGCTGGGCATTTCTTTAGTACCTCCATGGCCGGACCAGTACTTCAGTGTAGGAGAAGCTCTATTTAATATTCCTATGACAAATTTAAAAAATACACAAATTTAGATTGAAAAAATAATAAAAACTTTTTTTTCGGATTTACAATATATTGTTAAGCTGGTCTGGAGCTCAATCTGTAAATTTATTACTATTTGTACCATAAAAGTGTAAAACTATGAATTTAAGCTAAATTTTTTATTTATCAACTTATGTATTAATGGAGGTAATCAGAAGTCCTTAACTTTGTATGAATTTACATTATCATACCCAGTATTTGTACTTGATTCACTGTACACCTATTTGAATATTGAAAATGCTAATCTATACCACTGAAAAGATTCATATAAGGATCCATGCATTAGCATACAAGGTATATTACACCAATATAATCAAAATATGCATGTGGCTCAATTTAAATAAGACTTAAATATTTTACATTATCACACAATGACTGGAATGAATACAATAATACAAACAAAATAAATGTACAAACCAAATAGTCCAAAAAGCAAATCCCTTGATGGTATTCCTGTGTACTGCATCACACTCTCATCTGTTCTGGTGACTTTGTCAACAAACAAATTCCGCAAAAGAGCATCCTTGTTTCCTAGCTTCTGTTCAAGGTCTTCAAGTTTCTGTGAATTAGCTTGTATATCCCACATGGATAAGTCTGTCTGGACAGCAGAATCTCTGACTTCTACAGCTGTGTCTGATGTAATCTGTCCTACAGAGTAGCTATGGTCTTTTGACATATCCACATCTGCAATGTTAATTATAAAACAAGTGTCCATTAAATGGTTGATATTGTTTATATTTATACAGAGTCCATATTTTTAATTTCAATTACTTGTATGAGGATATGGTTCAAATTAGATAGAATTAACTAAACCTGGTAATTAGTTCACTCCTTACCTTCATTGAAGAAGCATGAATGATCAGCACAGAAATCTATGGCATGAACAGCTGTTTCAACTTCAACAGTACAAACAAATGGAGGGGAAAACACCATGTCAACTTCAGATGGAAGATTTCTTTCTTCAAGAGCTGATGGTATAGATGCTACCTGTAGGTGTTCCTAAGAAAATAAATACACAGAATAAACTTTTTGTAAAGTTACAAAAGTAAAATTGCATCATCAATTATAATCAATGAGTTATAATCAAAATGATCTACATGATTCTTATTTAGAAAAATGTGTGTTAAGTATTTACAACCTTTTTATTACTTAAATGTCTTATATTAATGTTTGCTTCAAAATAAATTTTGTTTCTATTGAAAAGTTCCAGCATCTTCAAAAATACGTTATTCTACCTACCAAGTAGTTTTAAAAGAAAGTACAGAGAATGACAAGTTTTGCGCTGACCATCCCCACACTCTCCGTTTAATTTCTACTTTTATAGGCTAATAGTACATCATATACTTTTTAGTACAATGCTTACAATTCATAAATTCTACTTGGGGAGTTATTACCTGTCGTTTTGTAATTGACGTCATATTTCTGACTGCTTTGGGTTTCCCATAATTGTTTCTGCTGAAAAGTGTAGGGACTGGATTATCATCTGTTGGCTTGCCGTCGATGAAGTGGAGCGAGCAGACACGGTGATGTGGTTTTGCCTCGTAGTCTTTCCTCATGATCTGGTCTAACCACTTTTTTCGAAGTTTTGGCTTTCTAACAATACCCGGGAACGGAAAATACTGAACATTTTGCATAAAGGGATACCGACCAACTTTTCTCCCGTCCGAATTACACCCTGGTACAACGCACCAATGCTTGTTAGACGGCATAATGACTGAAGCAGACGACGTTGCTTCGGACGCCGGAAGTCAGCATGCCTAGACTTTGCAGAAAATCACGTGACTTCCGCCGCGCATAAAGTCAGAACCGATTTGATCCGGACGGAACCCGGAACAGAGCTATTGTGTAACTCTCCCGGTCCTGAAATTATGTATAGGTAAGTAAAAGACAAAAGGAGATAGATATGAAGATCTGATTAGCAGGAAAATAGTCTTTCTATGGTAATTACCTATCTACCTGTACCAAAGTAGCATCCCATTGTTTTATGGAAGAACAACAAACATTGTTTAAATGTAAGGATCCCTGTTCCGCCGCACTGTGTTTGTTCTATATACAGTAATTTTCCCTTAAGTTCGTTTCCTATATAAATATAACACAACTAGTATGTTCCTGCTCGTACCTTCACATAACAACTTTATAAAGCAGTTGCTGTTTTCACTACTAAAACTCATTTCATATGCATAGATAAGTAGATCTAGAATACTCATATATTCAGCCATAAATATATGTTACTTAGGAATTTACTAATTTCCATGTAGCAATTCATTTCATTCTCATACATAATTATAACATAGTTATTATATACATACTTATGCTTGATACAGCTTACTATGATAGATACTTTTGACTCTTTGTTCGTGAAGTAGTTGAAATGGTTACTATTTTCAAATGCAAAGCACCATTTAATACAGATACATGTATACAGAGTAATACAAATAGCATATTATTTTTGTTTTGAACAATATGTTCATGTTCACGTGCATAAATTAACATACTTGTGCAAGCAGTTCTATCCTTCCTATTACACTAACTCAAATAGTCGACACTTATTCCCCAAAGCCAGAGGATGGTTCATCCTTTGAACTTGGTCTTTAACAAAATTCATAAAAAGGGTATTTGCGGTTTTCTTTAATTCCATTCATAAATGACGCATTGTGATGCAAGGGATCAACACGTTCGAAATCCAAATTTAACTACTGTTGAAACAGAGGGACAGGTGCGTAAAACTCCTCGACTCCCACACCCAGATTCCCACCCACACATACACACCCACACTCTCCCCCCTCCCTTCCCCACCCACACACACACACACACACACACACATACACACACATACACACATACATACGCACACACATACACACACACACACATACACACACATACACACACACACACACATACACACATACATACACACACACATACACACACACACACACATATACACACATACACACACACATACACACACACACACATACACACACATACACACACACACATACACACACATACACACATACACACGCACACACATACACACACACACATACACACACATACACACATACAAACACATATACACACATACACACACACATACACACATACACACACATATACACACATATACACACACGCACACATACACACACATACATACACACATACACACACATATACACACGTACACACATACATACGCACACACATACACATACACACACACACATACACACATGCATACACACACATACACACACATACACACACATACACACACATATACACACATACACACATACACACACATATACACACATACACACACACACACACACACAAAGAGGATTCCACCTTTATTATTTGGTAATAGATACAGTATGCAAAAATAAACAACGCAGCATCATATAGCTGTTTCGTCCTTCTTGGAGTCAAAGGTGATGCTAGGGATCAAAACGTTTGAAATCTAAATTAAAATACTATTGAAACAGAAGGGCAGATGTGTAAAACCCCTAAATTATGAATTTGAACATTTAGAGGAGTACTGGCTACTTTCAAACAAAATCCTTGGTAAAGTGTATTCTGTATAAACTATGCTACTACTCAAACGAGATAAACGGGGCCATTAAGGCTACAGCAAACCTCGGGGATTAAAGAGATCACAACCATGGGGTACCATAACACATAACACAGGTTGGCGCTTATGAAAGATAGTTGTTTAGGCTAGTTTGACGGTCAGATGTATTTCTTTATAATCAAGTCTACAGCATTCACGTTCAAATCGGTATGTTAAGCCAGGCGCGTACATGTAGCTGCCTATACGCCGGTATCGAATCGAAGTGAATCCAACAAATTATCAAACAGAAAAACAAACTAAAACCATTCTCATTTTATTGCTTTGACTCCCCCCCCCCCCCCCCCCCCTCCCTACTAGGTCTAATGGACCGACTCCTAGATGAATCCACTCAGAACAAGGGCTAGCTACGCCATTGTAAGCATGTCATCTTCGAATGCAAGAAAACTTCAATATTCACTTTTCTGTTTCAACAGTGGTTTAAAATTATGGATTTCCAACCTTTTGGTCCCTATCATCACCGATGAGTCCTAGAAGGACGAAACATGATCATTTTGTGATATGATGCGTTTGCTAATTATTGTTCTGTTAGTATACGTGTTTATAACTTTACCTGATGATGTGTTCAAGCACCAGACGTTTGGTAGCTTGTTGGGTAAAACAAACAGGAGGCTCCCCAGAAGGATCGCAGCCGTGGAATCTGTTACTGTACTGTTCCTGCAAAATACATGTACAAGTACAAGTAACTATTGCTTTCAGAAAACAATGGAAGCGCAAGTTTACCCTATAGTCAAAAGAACAGAAAAATACTAAACAAATATGTAAACGTTTCTCCACATCTAATTCACTATTCAAGGAAAAGCACTGTGACAGATGTATTATGTATTCCGGAGCAAAACGGTGAAATGAGCGATTGTCGGATTCCTTGACCTATATTTCATGTCCTCTGCTGGAAATCAAACATTCGCTTCCACCTTTTTTAAGGCTACATCATGTGGTCAATTATGACCATAGTTTTTGGCTTCAGAGAAAGTGGTGCGACAGCTATTTTGCAATCATCAAATACTCTTGAATCGTAAATTCTATTGAACAGAATGTAAACAAGTTCTCCCACATTCGGACTACCCGCGCGCCAACAGCCTGGCCAACAAGAGTGATTAAAATGAGTGGAAATTACTTGTTTCCCTATCTTTTGTCAAATAAGTAAGTTTATATGTAATATCACAAACTGTCCCCGTCATATGATAATGAATCAAATAGCGATGTATTTAGATTAGTTACTGTATACATTGTACCACGTACCCGTCTGCGTCCAGGAACAAATCCCCCCAGCCTCCAATGTCAGGCAGATCACGGAATAACAACAGTAGAGCCAGTGTTAAAAACAGCACCAGGACGGTGATCTCTCCAAACCTGTAAACCAGCATCAGGTGTAATGTTATCCCCTGAAATCTCGATAGTAAGCTTATTTATTTAAAAAAAAGATCAGCATTGAAAATAAGCATTTGTTTCCTTACAGCCAAAAATATCTTGATAATATGCTGTCTTTGAAAGAAGGCCGGTCTGATTCCAGGAAGGAGTCACATTTTTCCTGTCAAACTAAATAGCTTTTACAGGTTAACTATAACAGTATATGATTTCAAAAAATAGACATAGTTTTAATTTCGTTAATAGACACCTGATAACTCGCAACAATATTTAATTTATGATTGAACTCAAACTTGAGTGAGGTTGTGATAATACAAGTATTTGCATTAATTTTTATGAACACAAAAGCGATTAAAAAATTATCGCCCATAATTAATTCGTATGCTATAATCTAAGATCGGTCATGACACCGAGACGACAAGAATTAGTGATCTCTATATGTCGCAGTCGACAGAAAAATAGCGAAATAGAACATATAGATGAACTATATCTCGATCTTACTTTATACGTCCCAGCTGTTTGTACTCCCGCTGAACGAACGCCTCCATCTTAGCATGTCTGCTTTTTTCAGCTGCCTCACAGCATCTTAAAGTAATGAAATGAAAAAATATATAAGTTAAAACATGATCAAAATTAACATTAATTTCGTACAGGTATGGGTTCGCATAAACATCACTTTAACTGAAGTTGGGTCCTCTTATTTTCTATAGTGTTTCATCATTTAAAAGGGATAACGTTTTTTATTTTGTTATTTAGTGTCTCTTATATGGTCTGGAATCTCCAAAAATACAGTCGAAGTTTTTAATGCAGTTACTACATTTATAAAAACAAATGTCCAGATCTAATTCCAAATCTTAAATCTTATTTGCTTTTCATGCTATTTATGCAAATGATGCGTTAGTTGGAAAGGTAGTTAATTCGTTTCGGGTGTCATCTTATGCAAGGTATACACATGCAAGTATATACCACATTTCTTATTGGTTAAATTACTGGTGTGAAACCTTATATTTAGAATTTAGTGTTTTACGTACCCACACCTTAAGAAGACTATCTGGAGCCAGACCCAAGCGAGAATCAACAAGATGAGCGACACAGGGAAAGCGAACCCTATCCAGTTGGCGTACGTTATCCCGGAGTCAACAGCTCCGTAGTCTTGGAAACGTCTTAAAAAGATAGGATGTTAAAAGAGGACGTGCATGCTTAAATCGTTAACGTTATACGAGTATTAAATATATCAAGATATCTTCTGAGTGTTCAATCAATCTGATGAATGTTAGATATAGCAATGTAAACATCTGTATAAACTTGTCATTACCTTTGGTAGGAATACCATTCTGAGGCTGCGTATAAATGATGTGGGCTTTATGGAAGTCGAGACCACAAATTCAGAACTGTGTCATTCTTCTTTCGTTTTTCGTTTGTTTGTTTGTTTGAGCCTTTTCTTTAAACACGTACTAGAGCAAACTTGCATACATTATAACGTTAATGTGAAATAGCAGTGAAACGTAATTCTCCATACAGCACTAGAAAACAGAGGCTTGTAACCTTAGTTGGCTTGATATAACATAAAACATATGGCTAATATTTCATTTAAAAATAGTTTCAATTAATGTATTTTATACACAAAAAAATCCTGCCACATGTAGTATGAATACAACAGACACTCTTTCTGCTAAATATTCATTAAGAAAAGTTTCTTTTTACCGGGAAATTTTCGCCTGGTTATATTTTCCGCCTTCGCCAGTAAAATCAATATTTACCCAGTATGAATTTTGCCCTTTACATTTGTTAAGTATGCATATTATGTTGTTTATTAATGTTCGGTGTATGCTAAATTCGCTCGTGCTAAGGAGGGCAAAACAGGCGACAATTAAACTGCGGCGATAATTGTCCGGTACATGTATAAGTAGCTGACATACTTGCATTAATAAGATACACAATACTTACCTGTCAACCTGTACCTTAAGAACTAAGTTGGGCCCACAACCGTTAAGTGTGGCAATTCCCCCAATATTTGAAGCGTATGCCACGCTCAATGCAAGTCCTTTTTTCAAACGCTTGCTATCATGATGGCCTTTACTGTAAAATAATCAATTGTTATATCATTAATGTATAGATTGTCTTGGTATACAATATCTACAAGACTCAATAGGGACCGAACGTTATCATTCTAATGTGTATCAAGATATTTCTATTTTTCTTTCAACATGGTACGTACTTCTATGATAATGAGACAATCTGTTTACCGTGTGGTGTCAGCATATGAAACGAAATGAATAAGTAATTGAACGAAAGACACAGAACTATCTAAAAATAAGAAATCTACAACGCCCGTATGTTTAACATGATCAACGTAAAGTTGTTTCTTTCTTCTAGGATGCCAGAGGCCCAAATGGTGGATATCCATAGTTGTCTCAACTTCTTTTGAAACAGACGAGATGGTCCGTAAAACCCATGATACTGTATAAATTTCAATCATAAGAGGAGTACTTTGCAATTTTTGGCTACAACTGAGTCAAGTGTCATAACATTAGAATAAAAAAAAGCATAAAGTAAATGTTTGGTGACTGACTACGTACTAGGGATCATCGTCTCCCTGGACTTATATGATTTGAAATGAAAGATATATGAATAAAAGAATAACATTAAACAGTTAAATATAGAATTGTTACTAGTAATAACCATTGATAAGTTTCAGCTCTTTAAGAAATTAAACTCTAAAAAAAATCTAAAAAGATATACTATAGTAAAGTATGGGATGGCTTTGGAACTAACAAAAGAAAACGTTTTTCCAAAACAATCTTCAAAGTCTCCAAATATACACTATAATGTATGACATTGTGAATTATAATTACACTTTTCCTCGAAACTTTCCCTGATTAATGGGAGTACGATATTTGTATGTGTATGATCTCTAATAAGATTCATACATGTATGGTATAATGGACACGTGTCCCGAGGTACCTTTTCACGTCTTTAAGCTGAGGAGAGGCCTCCACTTTTGAATTTCCATGGGCAACTTCTGTCAAATGAGCATCTTGCACGTCAGTGTTTCCGTTTTGCTTAACTGAAACAAGTGTTTACAACATTTCAATGTACCGAATATACTTAATAAGATCAGATATTAAGCTTATATGTCAATATGCAATACACGAATACCTTTTAGAAAATACCTACCTGTTCCGCAATAATTCCTTAACATTTATATTGAGAATTATTTTTTCCGTAATCACCTTAACAAAATATCATATTTCGATCCTTCTGCAACTTCAACCCCTTCATTATGTAATCTGCAGGGATCTATTTATACAAAAGTTAAACTCCATTTAATGATAATAATGATAATTCGAGGTTCTTGTATACCGCTTTATCACAACCTAGTTCGTAGGTCGTCTCAAAGCGGTTTATAAATTATTATCCGTGGTTCTAGGTCCCTTGCAACCAGCCAACACCTTTCTCAACTACCTGGGGAGCATACAGCCGGTGCTGCCATTTCAGCGCTAACAGCTAGCATTCAACAATTCTAGCACTGCCCAACCACGTACTCATTTACAGCTGAGTAGACAGGAACAAGCTGAGTAAAGTATCTTACTCAAAGATACAATACAGTGCCGTGCCATGACATAACGCTATTTTTATTTCTGACAAAAAAAAAAAATGCTTATCTGTTATGGTCCTTTGAGCGTTAAAGTGGGCACCAATCCTTTATTTAAAACAACAACGAATATATATCGATGAAGCTATCGACATTACAAAAATAAAACTGAGAAGGAGGACCGGTAAGTTGTAATCCGAATGAATTTTATAATCAAGTATATTTGGTTTAAACTGCATTTATTCAAAGTATTGATTACAAGGCATGAACAGTACAAATCACATAAGCTAACATGATATGGAAAAAGTACGGTGTGAAAATGCATGCTTTGAGTACATTTTATTTCGAGAAAATATCTACACACTCAAAATTTAACTTTGACAGTACATGAGTGTTTTCGGGGGGGGGGGGGGTTGGAAGCTGTGCGTGTACGTTTTCTATACGTTACAAAATGCACTTGTTTGTTTTGGGTATGTATGTAGGGGTGTGTAGGGGTGCCCATGCGAAATATGTTTTGTGCCTATCACACAAATGTAAGATCGTCTACACAAGTCCTACACACGTGTACTTGTTGCAGTAGCTTCACTCTCGTCATCCATCGCTCTCGTCTGCTCAGAGACAGCTATTAGGATGGGAAGCATCATAGAAGCTGTTGCTGTATTACTGATCCACATGGACAGGAACCACGTGGAGATCATCAGTCCCAGCATCATTCTGGCGGGAAAAGATACGCGAGTTTACAAGATATGAAATGAAAAGTGGTAAACCTCGTATCCATCAATTGGAAAAGTTGTTTTCAAGATAGAAACTGCACGGGAATCTATTTACTCTTCCAGCGTCAACCATATGGGAAAGAGTGGGCAAATACATTATATGGAAATCATACTGCGGGGGGAAATCTAATCCATTGTTTAAACTTCGGGAACGTATATGTTAAAATCTATTGCAAAGTTTAAAGTTTATCTGTAAAAAATGCGGTTTTTAATAATAAAGGAATCGTCAGGTTTAGTAGCCATTTCAATATCTCTCACTCACGAGTTCGGACTTGCGCCCAACAGCATTGTAATTCTGATGGCGATACGTTTGTGTAAGTTGACCTCGTGCATAGCAACGCCAATTATCAATCCCACTAGAAACAGCGCACTGATATCCTGTAACATAAGTCAAAGTAAGTATAACAATATATGTTGTTACCTGATCACTTTCTATATGAAAAGTAATAAAACAAGTTTGACTATATTCATAGTGACAATAGCGTAATTCATATACAGTCAGAACTATTTTTATGTGAAGCTCTCGAACTGAAACACGTTTCCTTGGCAACGAACGCGCCCAATCATGTTTTTGATCTCGATTAAAGCGCTGTGCGAACACTGACGTCGTTTGTTTACAAGCAGACGTTTCCGAAGATGGCTGTCGCTCAAAGAGAACGTTTTCAAGAAATATCAGAGCAGGGTTTACTGGAATTAGTTGAAAACAGGGATTCTTGTAATACAAAAAATGTAGTTAAGGTAGCGGTAAAAATCATAACCCCATGTTGCGATGCAAAGGCCAGAACAATCACACCCCGATCTCGATCAGATTGATTGTAGTATAATCACAACCCGATCTCGATCAGACTAATTCTAACGTCACAGTACCCAACTCGGGACACTTTTAAATGAAATAATGACGTATTTCATACCATAGTACCAATCTCAGTAATTTTTGTTCACTTTTCCTAAATATATGTTATCTTTTCATTTTGATAAGTTGATAATTCCGGCGCGTGGTTCTATAAATAAAACCGGAAACAAAGTCATGGTTACATAATCGCGAAACAGATGAAACCGTACCCAAATCGGGACACCCCTACCAGTTTTGGCTTATATTTGGAGATGAAAAAAGTATTAAGCAGAAATGGCATATCTTTGGAATATTTAAGAGTCAAGGGTCGTTCTGAATGGAATGAATTTCTTTACCAAACTACCATTAGTTGTGAAATAGTAGGATTGTGAAAAGTCACATACAAAAATTGAAAATCAATAACGTCGCATGGCACATCAATTTAGAACGTTACATTTTCGTCATTATTTACAAACTAAAACTGATTGTAACCATAAGTGGCAATAAATGAAGTTCATATAATGTTTTATTGGTATATTAGTATCCAATTTAGCAAATACTTCTTTGCACATCATGCACATTTCTTGTGACTTTTTCCTTCAAGTGTCCCGATTTGGGTACTGTCCCGATCGGGTAACTGTGACGTTAGTATAATAAATACCCGATTATCATTAAAGACAATTGCAAATGTGTAGGTTAGTCAAAACATCGAGGGGAAAACCGTTTTGACTATTGACTGAATTAACTGTATACTATATACCGGGACATTTCGCCCAGTCAACCTTTCGCCCTACGCTGGTAAAATCTGTATCCGCCCAGTGTTATTTATTTTTATTTTTGATAGCTATGTTACATATGTCTGCTCTTATGATATCTTCCGTCCTCATTACGGGGGACAAAAAAGACGAAGGTTAAACTTACCGGTACATTGTATGCATCGGGCTAACTACATATCATTATACATGTACTTCATTTACATGTAATCAGCGATTTCGATTGGTTTACTACCTGTAAGTACGATGTACTTTGATCAAATGAAGATAAAATGAGATTTCGACATCGCACTCGAGTTTCCCCGGTCATACTTTTTCACTCGAGTTGCCCCGGTCATACTTTTTCATTCAGTGCTTTTTAGAAAAACAAATGCATTATTGTACCCACACTCAGAGGCTTATATTTCGACGCAGAATCCAAAGAAATAAAAAAGTATATGCATATATCCTGATGTTGTAGGGTGTAGCATTGGACGTAGGAAGGCGTTCAGATTAACGCCGGGTAAAATGCCCCTATATTGCGGAATGAACTTTTTGCTGCCAAAATCACCTTTATGAGGAGCGTAAAAAACGTTTTGCTCTCTCACTTATCATTGACATCAACAGAAAATGTATTCTCCTTACTCAAGCTTGATCTCCGTGTCCTCCCAAAACACATTTTAATGTTTCTTATACTTACACATCAGAGAGGAATAGTGCGTATAGAACTTCGGGTCACTTTGGAACATTAGTTTTCCGTATGCGTCGCTAAAGACGAGAGGATCAACGGATAAATGAGAACTTTATAAAAACATGGGAACACAATTACCGTGGACCACCTTGATCAATCGTACCTAAAATGAGTGATATAATACCTTACCATTCCGCGCTCTCGTCCAAGTACATGTAGTTTACATTTGCATAGTACATTGTAACAGTCAGCACGCGCTTATAATTACATTGATTTGAATCACTCACATTGAAGTAGTTTCCGCAAACCACTTTTCCGGGCTGGACAGAAAGTAATGGCAGGAGAAACATCGGCATCATGGCTGTGACAGTGATGGGTAACGCCCCCGTCAACCACAGGATCGCCATGGAAACCATGACGTAGGCACATCTTGATTCCTGAAAGACAAAGCAGTTTGAAGGTTTAAGTCAATGCAGACGTAATTGTTAAAGAGATTCATTCTCTGATATTTTCAGTTCATGTGGTAGGTTTCAAAAATGGACTAAATTTATATATATGTAGTATTCTTTAATAAAGCGTCCGCTTTAACGGTAACACTACTGTAGTATATAACAAGGGCATATAGATATGTTACTGACTAGCTCTTCTGTACATTTTGTCGTTTTCTATTGGCTATTCTTAGATACTTTGCCAAATTAGCTATTAGCTTTTGATTTTGATTTTCTATTGAAAACAACTTAATCAATGCAAGCATACTAATGTGTCGTTATAGTAAGGATCTGAGGTTTCTCTTGTGAAACCAATTTCTATTATAAATACTTACCACAGTCATTATAACGCATATTAAAACCTTACTTGGCTCTTTACATACGTAAATAAAGATTTTTCCCCCATGGAAAACCCATCAATCAGACGGCAGTGTTCACGCACGTGATCAGACATGAAGCCATGCTTCCCACCTCATAATTCCAAAGCCCAAAAAAGTGAGAGCCAAGGAGACAAGGGGAGGCTGGGAGGGAACTCACCTAGTGACTGTGGTAAGTATTTATAATAGAAATTGGTTTCACAAGAGAAACCTCAATTCTTTTTCAAAATACGTTACCACAGTCATTATAATGCGAATTCGACTTACCGCAGTGATGTCTTCGTGGAGCGATGAAGGGTTCCAACAATAGGACCCATACCCCCGGAGGAAAAATTTAAAATACGTTTTCTTTTGTGACACAGAGCCTGATTACGACCAGCGTTCCGGATCACGCGGAGAAGACATAATGAGGGTTATGCAAAAGAAGAGGGAGGACAGACAACGGATTGGGCAGCCACAAGAGGGCCCAAAGAATACAACCCGTCAGACTGTCCTCGACAAAGATCGGAGATAGAACTCCGTAAACGTAGAATGACCCATCCAAACAGCAGCTGTCATGACCTCAGCGTAAGAAAAACCATTAAATAAGGCCCACGAAGTAGCTAAAGCGCGAACCTCATGAGCCCTAACCCCTGACACCTGCATGGACTGGTCCGACAATGAAGCGTCCGAGCCCACAGACTTGCTACCATAGAAAGCCAGCACACTAGCAATAGCTGAACGATAGCCTGCAATAGTTCCCGGAGACAGACCTTTGTCCTGGAACAGAGACAAAAGAAAGTCGGCTACAACGGGAACAAAGGCAGAGACTGGATCAATCGACCGTCCGACACACCAGTCACCGAAGGTGGACCATCGAGATTGGTAGACGGCGGAAGACGAAACTCTAAGTGATCCTGCTCTCGAGAGTCCTTCACCGACTCCGGCAGAGGAATGTACACATCCCATTGCCGAGACACCGGAGACCAAACTGACAGAAGGAACAGTTGGAGCGGACGGATGTGAAGCCGACCCAAGGAACCACATCCGCCAGTGAATTCAGGTAACCGAGGATCCGAAGGTACCATCGAACCTGAATCCGCTCCACACCGACCAGAACGGAGACCAACAGATGGGCCTTCTCGAACTTGGACGCTGGTGGAAGGACAAACCCCAGATCAGTTCTGAACCGATAACCGAGGAAAACAAAATCCTGGGAGGAGAGAACCTCCGACTTCTCCCTGGAAGAAATGAACCCTAGGCGGCACAGAACGGCCAGAACCGACCTCGTGCTCCGGGACAGGATAACTGGATCCACTTGGAGCAACAGGGAGTCGTCGAAGTAAATGGGTGCATCTACCCCGAGACTGTACGTGTTGATCGTACTAAGGTGATACAAGGAAGACCCGGGAGTAAAACCCTGGATACCACCGGTCTGGTGAAAGTTCCTCGATCGCGCCCTTCGCGATCATGGCCTGAACCTCCGAACTGAGAGCCTCCACCTTTCCCGGATCGAAAGGAGAAGGGAAAAAGATAGGCTCTCGCGCCAGAGGTGGATCCCGAAGGAGCGGGATCAGAGACCCTTGGACACAACCCCTTGGGCCCAACTGTCTGATGTGATTTCCTTCCACTGAGAAACGAAATGGGACAGCAGACCGCCTACTGGCAAGTCCGGAAGGGGCCAATCTAGCCCTTCCCAAACCACATCGGCGGAGCCTCCCGCGCCCAAGGGCGTTGGAGCGGCTACAGACAGTGGACAAGGAGTAACCTAGGGCAAGGAAGAATCAGGAACCCTTCCTCCCTCTGGAAAATTTGGCTTTGCCTCGACCCCTATGGGAACCCCTACCGCGGAAGGAAGATTTCCGACGTTGCGCCGGAGCGGAAGTCGGAGGGGCAGCCTGCTGCTGAAAAGCAGCCGTCTTTGCCTCCTTCCTCCTACGCCTGGAGGAGCCAGAAGCCTGACTCTTTCTGCTAACGCCCTTGTCTGCAGAATTGTGGCGTGCATCCTCAGACGCAAACGGGTCCAACCTCACCTCAGATTGCACTGAGGGAAGGACCCCGCCAAACAAATCTTTGCCAGTCAAGGGAGCCTCCAAAAGGGTAGCCCGATAGGAATCGCCGACTGGCAGTCCAGAAAGGACCGACAACCGGCGGGCAACAACAAGGTGTGACATGGCAGCCGACAGTAAGGCCATCGCATCATGATGTGCCTTGCAAATTGCCTGGCTGAGGCGCTCCATCAGTCCAACCTTGCTGGGGAGCTGCTCCACCGGTAAATCAGTCTACGTAGGACAGAACATGGAGAGCCAGCCTAAGGAGACGCTCCAACTTAGAGTGCTCCCTAGGCCCCATCACAACCTGGTCAACACAGCGTCCCGGCCACTTATCCAGATCCCTCTCAAGGGAAACAGAATTA